TGGGAGAGTCTTGCAGTCAATCATGGAACTGGGATGGAAGAAATCTGCTGGAGGGGTTTTGAGAAATACAAAAGAACAAGACTGACAGAGTTTTTTCTTCATTACTGTCACAACTATGAAGCATGGCAGCATCTTTCAAAACAGAAAATCTTTGAAAGCGTTTTGGTGTTGTCCTCTGAAGTTGTGGACAGAGTGCTGTCCCCTGAAGATGCCGGCCACAGAGACTGGGGAAATGTTAGGAAGAACAACCTTCAGAACACGGCCAAAGAGCCCAAAAAACCCACAACCACCATTAGATCCCGTCCGTGAAAGCCTTCGTGAATCCATTGTTTTGTGTTGCTTATGTGTTTCAGTGCAGTATTCATTTGATCCTTTTTAGTGTTTGTTTACTCACTGCTGTTAGTTTTAAATACTGTATTTTAATGTTGTAACCTGCCTTGGGTCCTTCTTAAGGAGAAAGGTGGGAAACAAACAAACAAACAAACAAACAAACAAACAAACAAACAAACAAACAAATAATCATTTCATTGTTCTCAGAACATACCCAGTAAAAACCTCCAGAGTGATAGCTATGTAATTCAGTGATGTCTTCCTCTATAAAAAGCAAGTAGAGATCAGGCAAGGAAAATGGAATGTATGTACAGCATATATTGTATGTGGATATATTTCTGAATACTCTCCCCTCCCTGTAGACAATAGCAGGGAACTTCTAGGTTGTAGAGCAATGAGGTTTTGCTTCCGACAAGCACAGATTCTGTTGTTCCTTCTGCATCCAGCAACTCACAGTACTTCCATATTTGAACGTGTTGCTATAAGTCACTCCCCAAAGGGCTAACAATATACTGTTGAACACAGAATGTTAACAACTAATACAGTAACATTTTGGGTGTGTCTTAACAAAGGCCACATCTGTCTGAAAGTGAAATCATTTTGTATCTGATTTGGAATTCATCCTCCTGTGATGCCGGGCCTATTGATTTTCAGTGAGGCTTATGCTGGTAAACATAATGAAGGCTGGCTGAAGTGTTCACAGCTCCACATATATACATATGGACATAGTAAGAATCCATTCACTGTAGTGAAGTTTTAGTACAGATAACTGAAATACTCTGATTAGAGTTGGAAGAAATTAAAACAAAGCATTGGCTTTTATGTCACTGGGCTTTGTTTGGTCATCCTTCTCTCCGCCGCCGCCACTGCCCATTTGTTTTTCAAAAGGTCTTCTAAAACAATGTCAAATCATAGTTTATGGAAATTAAGAGAGAGAGCCACTGTGCACAGATTTCATCTATTTATATTCCTGCAAAACACCAAGTTCCCAGAAATACTTCTTTCTTCCGTTTCTCTTTGCCTTCCCAAGAATTAGCCTGTTCTGCTTTTCATCTCTAAACATACTTGTCAAGTGCCCTGATCTGGAGATTTGTGTGCTCCAGTTGCTGAAACCTCCTCATTCATTTGAATGGAAACATCCAAGCTGCATAAACATCCCTTTAGGCAAGCATATTGGGTGCCTTCTTTGCTTAAAGGGAGATACTGGTGCGGGCAAAGCTCCACTCACCCACGGGAGCTTCCACACTAATAAAAGATCCTTAGACTGGGGCAGCCATCCTTTCATGTGGGTCATGGATGGGCAAAGCCTGGCTCTCAAGGTGTTAAGGGCAAGCAGATGCTGGTCCTTATCATACAACTTTATGGTTATGGTAACTTCCTTTTGTTGCATGACCTTTCAATGTGAATCTTACTCTCCCCCCTTTCCCCCTCCTTCTTGGTCTTAAAGTTTTCTGGGCATTGTAACAATGCCTGCTCCTCCTATGTGGACATGCCTTCGTACCCAGCAGGCAAAGCCATGCCTATGGCTGCTAGAGCCCCTCTAACCTTATGCTGTTGCATGCTATGTGATATACTCACTTCCTTTTCACTGATGCTGACTGGTAGGGTGAGTGGGAGGATAAAGGGGGCTATGATAGAAGGGGGTTATGAATTCGCAGTAGTACCATTATCCATTTCCATTGCGTTATCCTGTCATCATAGCATCAAAGAAGGCCAAACATATAGTGAGGCCAGAACATGGTACCAGTGTGTCACGCTGTGTATTCAGGGCCCATCATGGATTTTACTGACATATTTTCATGGTGGCATGCGCAGTCAGTATCAATGGAAGAGAATAAGAATATACTCACATTGGCGATACGGTAAAATTAAGCATAAACTAGCAGTGGTATAGTGGATATAGTGACGGAGAAGGACTCTGGAGACCAAGGTTTGAATCCCCACTTGACCATGGAAACTATTGGGAGCGTGCCATGAAGACACCGCTTCCATGACATAGTGGAGAAAACAGCTAGACAGACTGGAAGTATGAAGGAGGATGATTTCAGAAAGGGAGTGCATTTTTACATAGATAGTGACATCCACTACAGACATGTGTGAAGCACATCACCAAAGTCCAAAACACACCCATCAGGCTTCTGAGACAGTGCACATCAGGAAGTCAAGTGTCTAAGAGAGAAGCAGCATGTACCCAAAGAGTTCATCTCTACTTGCAAAGCTCTAAACAGTTTGGGACCTCAATACCTGGCAGAACGCCTCCTTCCAATGTGATCTGCCCATTCTACATGATCTTCCCAGGCCAGGTGATTGAGAACACTGACCCCAAGAGAGGCGCGAAAAGAGAAGACCAAAAACAGAGCCTTCTCTGTGGCTGCCCCCCACACATCTCTGGAACAATCTCCCACCTGAAATTTACCTGGCCCCTTGACTGGGAAACGCAATACCTGGCAGAACGCCTCCTTCCAATGTGATCTGCCCATTCTACATGATCTTCCCAGGCCAGGTGATTGAGAACACTGACCCCAAGAGAGGCGCGAAAAGAGAAGACCAAAAACAGAGCCTTCTCTGTGGCTGCCCCCCACACATCTCTGGAACAATCTCCCACCTGAAATTCGCCTGGCCCCTTGACTGGGAAACATTAAACAATAACAAAAACATGGCTTTTCAGGCAGGCTTTCTTGGAGTATTCAACATCCTAATACTGTGGTCATTTCAGCATTTTCTACTACCTGTTCCACCACCTTTCCTTTAAACTATCCTAATTAGTTTTTAGTATTTACTGATGTTGCTAGTCTATGTTTATTTGATGTTTAATTTTGATTAAATGGGGAAAGATGGTGCCAGGGGGCAGGAGGTTGTCGTTCTGACGCTTTGTCATTTCATGCTCACCTCTCTCTCCCTTAGACCAGACTAAATCCACTGCCACCATGAGCAAAAGGAACCAGGTGTCTTACGTGAGGCTGGCTGAGCCTGCTTTTCTGAGCTGCTTCATGGTTATTGGGAGGGGCCGACAGTAGATACGAAGGGGCTTGAGTAATTCAGAGAAGCTATGGGCTATGCCATGCAGGGACACCCAAGACAGGCCATAGTGGATTCTGACTAAACGCGATCCACCTGGACCGGGTAGGTGGGGCTCCTCAGCCTTGGAAGGCAGCCCATCTAGGAGAAAGAAAACTCCACTTTCAAACCTCCATTGCATTGTGCCTATATCCACTGATGGAAAGGGCTTCAGGAGTAAACCTTGAGGCAAAATCTGGAGCCGGAGTCCCAGAGGCAGTTCATGATGTTCTGGCAACTCCTGCAATGTTGCTGGAACCAGTTGTATTGGCTCTTGCCTTTCCACTGGACTATTTCAACGACGTGGAGAGGGGGGATTTGCTGCTTGGGTAACAGCCTATCCTCCATATTATTTTACCCAGGCTTCGTGCTCTGGAGAGGACACTCATACAGAGCACGTTACCATAGTCTCTTGAGACTGAAGGATGCCTAGGAAAGAATTTTGATTTTGATTGTTATTGTGTTTACTGTCTCATATTATTGTTTATCTTTTTTGTTGTTGTTGTAAACTGCCCAGAGTAGCCCTGGCGGCCAGATGGGTGGTATAAAAGCCAAATAAATACATAAATAAATAATAAATACTTCTTTTTGTAATGCTGAATAGTACTTATGACCCCCATTCACAGGATCAGTATTCATAGATTCACTTACCTGTTGCCTGAAAATACTAAATAACACCCCCCCATATGTATTTATATGCATTTCCAGGGAGTATCACTTATCTGTTGCCTGAAAATACTAAATACCCCCCCCAAATATGTATTTATATGTATTTCCAGGGAGTATTTACCAGAACTAGCCACTAGAATGAGCCAGAGATCATCACTAAGGGCATGCCAGAACTGGCCACTAGAATGAGCCAGAGATCATCACTGGGGGCATTCAAAAGAAATTTAGACAACCACCTGGCCAATATCTTTTGATTTGGATTTCTGCATTGAGCAGGGGGTTGGACTCAATGGCCTTCCAACTGCATGATTCTGTATTCTATGATTCCATGCTATGTACAGCATTCCAGACATCTTCATTTTTTTGGAACCCATGAGAAGGCTCAGCACCAATCCTCTGCAGATGCCATGGTCCTACTGTAATACACACCCTATCTGCTTTCCCTTTGTTAGGCTACGGTTCCCAGGATTCCTCATCATCAGTTATGGAGAGCAGACCTGATGAGAGCTACCACCCTGGGGAGAGTAAACTTTACCCACTTCATCCTAACCTATTGATCCAGAGGTGTTTGCTTTTTAGGCGAAGAAAGATATAGTGCTCAAAGACAAATAGTTCACTGTAATACACACCCTATCTGCTTTCCCTTTGTTAGGCTACGGTTCCCAGGATTCCTCATCATCAGTTATGGAGAGCAGACCTGATGAGAGCTACCACCCTGGGGAGAGTAAACTTTACCCACTTCATCCTAACCTATTGATCCAGAGGTGTTTGCTTTTTAGGCGAAGAAAGATATAGTGCTCAAAGATAAATAGTTCCAAGAGAGAATCTCTCTCTCTCTCAAATCACAATAGAAGCTGCTTAAGCTGATTCTCAGGGTTTTTATTTTATTTTATTTTGTTACTTCAAAGGTGCAATAGCAAAGTGCTTTCTTTTCTTCTCCATCAACCAGCTCAGGTCCATTTTCCTCTTCTAGTTGCAGTAGTTCTCTAGTTCATAGAGGGAGCAAGTGTTTTCACAGCACTGCTGCACGATTCCTCTCTTCACCTTCTGAAAGTCCTGTGTCTCGAATGGCAGTGGCTCCACCTCATTCTCTAATGGTCCATTCACTGGCAGACAGAGAGAAGACCACCCCAGTGAATGCACACACTCTCAACAGTTGGGGGAAAGTTTGGACTTGCTCCTGTCTTAGTCAATGTCTCTCTGTGTGGTTTTTTTTTAAGTGATAGAGGATATTTTCTCTCTCTTGGAGATCATTTTGGAGTGGGCAAGGTGGTATGGCTAGACTATTAGGGGACTAAGAGTTATAGGCATAATTCCAGACCATTTTGGTGTAGAGTAGGGGGGGTAACTATATACACAGAGCTGTTTTGAAGATCATGAGAATCCTTCAGCTAAACAGACAAGTTAGTTTCAAATGAACAAGGCACTTACCTTTTCTGCCAAGTGGTCGCCAGCAGTGAAAATATTCCATTTCATGTACAGTTAGGCTCTGATATTCTGCTTGTATGTCTAGGTTTGTGGTACTTTGATGTTCAGATTTGAGCCAGTTAACTAACAATTCATGGGATATTTTCTCTTCTGCATATTTGTTGTAAATGGTGAGCCTTAGGACTGAAGTGGGCTGCACATGTATTTCACTGGCAGAAATTCAGTATTTGCTATTTACCCCTCAAGTACCAGGATTTTTAAATATTTGCATTAAATAAGTTGTGGGACTTCTTTCCCCCCTGAGTTTTAAAATATGTTGATGGCTAGTTAGTAGTAGGATTTGCATTCTTAGGGGTAGAGCTCAATAGGCATGTCTTGCATTTCTTGACCACAATAAGGATTCAGAGGACTCAATCTGCCATGGGTGCAATCTATTAAAAACCGGAGCATGCCATTGTTGCTTCTCTGCATTATGGTTTGCAGAAAAACCAGCAAGGAGTATTTTCCCCCCAGCATCTTACATTGGGTGAGACAGTGGTAAAAAAAAAGCAACCAAATGGTTGGGACCTATTTTGTCCAGTTGGTTTGCTGGTTAGTCAGCTAAAACAACAAACAAAACTTAAATATGGCAAGAGGATGAAACATGAAATCAACATTCATTAAATTCAGGTGACAGTGCAATAGAATGCAGACATAATACGTAGGTCTAATTCTGTGTGAATTCTGCAATAAAATGTAACTCCAATATATATACTGTATATTGGATTTCCCTCCCCCTTCAAACAAGATTATCTGCCTCTGAAGTTAGGAGTTCAGTGCAGAAATCACAGGGATGAAACGTTGCACTTCATGCTGTTTAAGAGATCAGAAAAAAATTACCTAGGGGCTGTTCAATGTTCCTCCGTGTTTTGGGAGAATAATAGAAGCCTCGCTCTCCACATACAAGGTAGAGTGCCTCCACTAGATGAGAGCCACACAGATGTTGATTGGGGATAGCATAACTAGTAGCAGGAGCAGAAATAGCAAGCAGCACAAGGAGGGGCAGAGACCTGATCCAGAGAGTCATGGCGATAAAGGAGAGACCTTGGAAAGAGAAGTTAAGGGTGGGTTAGATGAGGGAATAAAATAGACTGCAACTAGATCACACTGATTTTTCAAAATACTATGTTGATCTGTCCCATCACTATCCCCCTCTCCCTTTCAAAATGTGTTGGCCTCAGTGATCAAACACTATTGACAAAATAACTTTGCTCTTGTTTCACATGCTGAAAACTAGTTCCATTGTCTTTTCTTTTTTAAAGAGGTACACTTAAAACATTTTACCTGTGCACCTTAATGTAGATTCTCAACAGATACACAGCTCTAGTTGTATGTGTGGTGGGAGCTGGCATTTTTATGGCTTATCACTGTATTTACACTGGGAGCAGAAAACATAAATGTATCGCAACATAACATGTGAAAGAGCCTTTATTTGTTATTGTGGTATAATGTTGATTCTATGCATGTTTGTCCCTAAGTATTTAAGGCAAACATTCTCAGGGTTCAAGTTAACTTTGTCACCTATAAATAATTAGAAGAGGGAAAGGAAGCAGCAGTCTAGTATTAAGCTAGACATCTATCATTGGTCTCAGGCCTATTACAAATAAAACAGGACACCTGCTAGTTATTTTTAATGGTTTCTCCACCAGCCGTACACCTAGGTTGCAACTCAGCTGTGCTGTGCTAGAGGATTCCATTGGACTTGAAAGATGGAAGTCCACTGAAAGATGTTCACTGGACACACCTTTTCCATGACCAATGGCAAGAAAGCTTTGGTGACAGAGAGCTACCAGCTATCCATATACTTTGGAAAATCTGGCCAGCTAGGAATGTTACTTATGATTAGGGAGAAGATTTCTATGAAATGTCAATTTTTTTCTGCAACCTATGTTTGAGCTTATGGGTGAGTTTGAACATGTTTACGAGTAATCTGGTGAAAAAGGCCAGATTACTCATAAACATGTTTGAACTTGCTTATGGATTTAAATATAGGTAGCAGAGAAAATGTGAAATGTCATAAAAATCCTCCCCACTTATAATTGTTCCAGGAATGCTGAAGGTACAAACTTCTCCGAAATGCCAATTCCACTTATCCAGAATCTGAATATACTGACAGTCATGTTAGAGGTTATAAAATATATGTGGTGAGCTGACTATGCAGGCCTATGGTACTGCTTCTTTCGAATTTCTGAAGCCAGCCTGCACATGGTGCTGTATACCACCATATGAACATAGTGGCTGAAATCCAGTAGCATGAAGTTACACTGCATAAAGTTACAATATGTAAAGTTATGCCATGTAAAGTTTTTACACAGTAAAATAATTTCAGTGATGGAGATTTTTGGAAATTAAAATATCCCACCCCATTCTGCCTCCCACTAGGCCTTCCCCAGGATGAAAAGGATCCTAAGGGAACCTTAGAACTTTGTGGGCAGTGGCTTGTAATACAATGAGCCTGTCACAGTGTAACTTTGCTGAATTTCAGCCAATGTTTTGCATGCCATCTTTCAAAGTAATCTGGTTGCCATTGCTAGATATTTATTGTTTTTCAGTTGCTTTTAAAATTTTTTTCTTTTTCATAAAAATCCTTTTAAAATCAAAAATAAAGGGTCCTGAATCCCCCAAGGAAGCCCCTCCAACAAGGTTTTACAGAAAATAAACAAATATTACTTATCACACAGAAAAGTAAAGATGCTGTCATCTGACAAATTCTTTGGAAATGGAACATCTTAAAGACCAATTTGCCTCATACGTACCATATAAACTTCATAGCTTATAACATGCAACTTCCAAAATCTGAACCCAACATTCTGGTATGCTATACCACAGAAATAGAGAGATGTTGGAAAAAAATCAGACTTACCTGACCAAAATGTCAGTGAGGAAAGATTTGAATATTGTGCAGGAATGAAAGGGGCAAGTGACTTCCGCCTCTGCTCCCATCCATATTTATAACCCATTTGCTGGTTCCAGTGGTACAAAATATGGTCAGAGCTCCACCTTTTCAGCATTGTCCTGGCCAAAATTTTGCTGGCTGAGCACATTAAATCTCTTAGTTTTTAACAGTGAGGAAAAAACAGGCACAACAGGTTGCAGTTTCCATCTCATTACGCCAGCCACCTGTATTTGTTTCGGAGAATCCGTGCCTTGAGCTGCGGTGACCCTTTTAGCTGGTGCGATAATGGGGCTATTAAACCACTACGATTGCACTAATGCCAGGCAATCGTTGGTGCTGGGATTGGTGTGGCCAGCAAGCTGTCTCTCCTGGCAGCTGTTTCTGAAGTGCAGAATTAAGGAAAAGCAAACATGTTAACATGTTAGTCTAATTTCACACTTGCTGGGCAACTGGTGATGGGAGAAGGCTGTTGATGTGCTATTGCAGTAGCCAGGTGTTAAAGAGGAAAGAAAACACTTCATTATAGCAAAGGATAACTGAGGCCACATTTCCTGATTATTTGAAGCAAAAGGTTCAAAACAGAGACATACTGTAGCAATATTATAAGGGGACAGTTCTAAGCTAGGAAGTTACCACCCCTAAAGAATATGTTGTGGCATTGTTTCATATGGCATATGTACTGTATAAGAATCTATGTACTTATTTCCTAGGATTATGGACAACCATGAGTACATGCAGCAAAGGGAAACCCAGGTGATTGGAGGTAAAATAAATTCCCATATAAGAAGAGACACAGTGTTTGTGACAATAAGCAAATTAAGAGAGGGCATGATAGAGATGTATAAAATTATACATGTATGGAGACAATAAATAAACTATTTCTGGTCCAGAATACCTGTGTCAGAGTAATCAATGCTCTGATGACATTCCAGCTGTAATGTATGTGGGGCTTCCCTTGAGAAAAGTCCAGAAGGAGAGGACTGCTGCCAGGGAGATGAGAGGGACACCAAGGACTGAGCATAAGACATCCTTTCTGAGGGCCTGTCCACACTGGTGAATAGTTATGATATATGGATCACTGAGGGCACAGTTCGGATTGCAAAAGGAAAAAAAAAACTTTCCTCTGTAAGTGTTTCTACTTAGAATGATCCATCCTTCCCATTTAACACATGTTTCTGGCCTAGCAGTAGGGCATGCATCTTTTTTGGCATGCTCGTTTAGCCAGGAGATAGGTGGCTCCAGCAGCTGCAGATCCCAAGTGAGAGCTTGTGAGAGAAAGTGAGGGGAGAATGAGAGAAGGGAAGCAGGGAGGGGGAAAGGGAGAAAACCGAATGTCACTAACAGAGGGAGAGTGGTGCAATGTAATATATATATATAATTTCACTTCTCCTGATCCTCCTCAGAAGTGTTTAATTGGCAGCTGATCAGGCTACAAGGGATCTCTCCTCCTTATGACAACAATACACCCACGATGATCACCATAATCACCCAATCTCCTGAAAAGGACAATGGCTGATCCCATAGCTATAAATACTCAACTATCCAACAAACTGCAACAAAGCACAGGCAGAGTGCTGACTCCTGCCCTCTGAAGATGCCGGCCACAGAGACTGGTGAAACATTAGGAAGAAAAATCTTAAGAACACAGCCAAACAGCCCAAAAAGCTCACAATAACCATCAGATCCTGGCCATGAAAGCCTTTGAGAATACTACAAGGGATTGTTTGCTGTTCAGATGGGAGGAGCATGCCAAATGGCACATTGCTCTTCCCCCTCAACTTCAACAAACTCTTTGTACAAGGCCCAAACCACCCCAGTCTGGACAGGCCCTGAAACTTCCTCTTTGGCTGCCAGGTTGAATTTGTGGTGTTAGCGTTCACACTTAAAGCTACAAGTGGTTCAGGCCACAGTCAGTTAAAGAACTACCAGATCCAGTACTAACCTGCCTGTGATTTAATATCAGGCTAGAATTTCTGACCCAGGTAGTGACAGGATGGCTGCTAGTCATGACAGCCATATGCTACCCTCTGAATCCCAGCTACAGGGAACAAGTGTATCTGAGATCCTTTTTTTTTGCCTTACAGACCTCCCAAATGCCTGTATGCAACTTAGCACAGGCAGACCTTTGGCTTAATCCAGCATGGCTCTGCTTATGTTCTTATGCTCTTAACTAAAGTACCAGAGGTTTCTGGTTTATGTTTTTAAGAAGCCACATAAGGGTGGAACTCCTCCAAATTTCAAACAAGGAAGTGAATGAACAAACTTGAAATAATTTGTTTTCTCCTTAATGTGCTTTGCAAGTAAGTAATCTGCTTCCTACACAGGGACAGGAACTTCAATTTCGTATGGGACATTACAGAATGAGACCCTAATATTCCCAGACTTCCATGCAAGAGTCAAATGTGCATGAGCAAAGGAGGGGGTGGTGTTCTTGAGTTTCTTTATTTGGCTGCAACTGCCTGTGACAGTTTGAATGCTGCTTAGAGCATTTGCCATATTGATTAGGGGATTTTTTTTTTTCAAACAAAGTAACTTTTACAAGTTCTGCACTTTAATTTTTGCTTGCCTAAGTTGGCTGCATAACCGGTTTAGCCAGAGGTTGGGAATCCAATTCCCCACTGCTCCTCCTGGGAGTGGAGCCAGCCTATGTGGCCTTGGGCAAGCTGCACAGTCCCAGAGGAAGGCAATGGCAAACCACTTCTGAGAGTATTCTTTATCTGAAAAATCCTTAAGAAGGGTCACCATAAGTCACAATTGACTTGATAGCACAGGATGATTATTATTATATCTGGGTTGTTGTTGTTTAGTCATTACGTCGTGTCCAACTCTTTGTGACCCCATGGACCAGAGCACACCACACCCTCCTGTCTTCCGCTGCCTCCCGGAGTTGGGTCAAATTCATGTTGGTAGCTTCGGTGACACTGTCCAACCGTCTCATCAGGATCCATCCTTCCACTGAGCACTCAGGGTTGATTTGCTTCAAAATGGATACGTTTGTTCTCCTTGCAGTCCAGGGGACTCTCAAGAGCCTCCTCCAGCACCACAGTTCAAAAGCATCAATTCTTTGGCAGTCAGCCTTCTTCATGGTCCAGCTCTCACTTCCTTCGATACATCACTACTGGAAAAACCACAGTTTTCACTATGTGGACCTTTGTCAGCAAGGTGAAGTCTGCTTTTTAAGATGCTGTCTAGGTTTGTCATC